TGAGCTCTGCTATAAAAATCTAAGAGAAATTAAAATAGACATACTAATATTAGAACATATACATATTGCATTGTTGGAAAGAGATGCATTGTGTAAATTGAACTGTACAATAAGACGTACACTAGACGGCTGTCTGGTAGAAGATTTTAAAAAGAATAGGGTTTTTGGGAATCATATTTGCTTAAAAAGATAATATCATAGGAAGGATGATAATCTATTAGACTGCCTATTAGACAATCTGTCTGAAAATAAAGTTAAAAGGGGTGACTGTTATTCTGGGTTACATTCCTACACCGAGAGATTTCAGGCTAGGCTAAGGGATGTTTAGTCGTTTGCCAAGTCTGTGTGTGAAGAAGTCAGAAGCAGGTGGGGACTTCCCAATCACATATTCTAAAAATTTGGTGGTAAAGGATTTTGTGAATAAATCAGTGGAAAATGGTTTTTAAAGGTTAGGAGAAAAGATTAGTATGCGTTGCTGAATGATAAGAGAAGATTGAGGGTGATTGAGTATCTATACTTACAGTTCCCAGCAGGAAGATCAAGGTAATTGTAGGTGTATTTTTTATAATCAAAAGTTTGAAAGTCAGGGATTAGAGGTAGGACGGAGAGCTAAAAAAAAAAAGTGACACTAGTGGTGATAGAGGGAAATACAAGTAAGGAGTTAAAAGTCTTAGGGGAAACTAGATGAAGTAACAATTACATTAACACTTCAGCATATTAAAACAACAGTGAGAAGCAATTTAACTCTTTCAACATTGATAGTTATTAAAGCCATAAATATATCACATTTGATTATAAGGGAACCAATAGCTCCAGCACCAATTTTAGGGGGAAAAAGACTGTTATTAGGGTTAGGATGGGGACATTCCTCCCACATGGAGAGATAATTATGGAGAAGAAGTATTGTTATCAGGACCAGAAGTAGAAGCTGTTGCACCTAGTCAAAGGAGGTATAGTTTGTACAACGATATGAAGTGGAAGAAAGTTATGAGTGATTGTTCATTTATTTTGCGTAATGTTACAGAGAAAGATCAGGGAGAATATATGTGTACTTATCTAGTGCAAGCATTAAAATTTGTTCCGGTTAAGAATTATTGGTTAAAAGGCTATGTCATTCGTAAAGTGACGCTTATAATGGAAGATTTGAAATCTGTTGAAGCTTCCACAGTCACCGAAGGAGTTCAGGAGGAGTATATTACAGTAGTCACTCCAACAGTAAATAATACACAGAGGATATCGGTAGCTTTCCCACTAGAAGTAGTCAAGGGTGTAATACATCAACTAAATCAACTACTTTAATGGTAACTTTGGAAGGGATTAATGGTGCGACGGCAATGACAAATGTAGGAAGTATGACACCAACACCGACAACAACTTTTCTGAAATTAAAGGGGGTAGCAAGAAGGACTCAGGGGTTTATGGTACGAATAGAGAGTGCTGTCAATGATAGTAAGGATAGGGTTAAAATAGGAGAGCAGATAGTGGTAGAGAACAATATAGATTCATCTGAAATAGTGAAGGATACTATCATGGAGGTACAGGATGAGGTCTTTGATTTTAATGACAGACAAGGAGAGGTATCTGATCAGTACCGCTCGTTAGGGAAGAGAGAAACTAAATGGGTTTGATTCTTCTGTTGTGAAAATTAAAGATGGATGGGCAGGTAGGAATCTTTGGTTCCAGCAGCTAGCTCATTCTGTAAGATCAGTGAGGAATCTTGAGGGTCCATGTCTGTTGAGAATTCCAGCACCAGACACGTGGGGTTCCATTTTAGACGGTCGCTCGACCTCTATCGAGTATGTGTCAGTCTTGGCTATTGTATCAGCAACAATCAGTAACAGATAAAATAATGTCGTTGTCAAAACATTTGTTTAAGCCTAGGTTTAAGTGTTCTTGGTTAAATGAATTACCCTATGGGAATTTGTTAGATGGGAAGGAAAATCAGTTAACAGCGAACCCTGAAGCATTGGAGGTGAAACCATTGAGGGCTAAAAGTTGTTTTTGTTCTAATAAAACATATGATGTAAGGGGTATGTTTATGGGAATATCAGATTGTGAGGATTATCTGATGACTTTGGGTAAGCATGACCTTAAGGGTAGTAATGAGAAATATAATGTTACTTTTTATGTTCCAGGTAGTAAGAACAGCAGGACTTTGATGGTGAAAGATCAGCTTTTGCCTGGCAATGTGACTATTGGGAATTTTAGAGATATTTGGTGGGTTTGTGGTGATAAAGCATATATATTCTTACCCTATGGATGGACAGGATGTTGTTACATGTCAACGTTGAAGCTTCCATATGAGGCTTTTACCATTAAAAGAGGGGTAGCACCGGACACAGATAAATCTGAATCTAGGTTTGGAAATAGGGTGAAAAGGGACATGGCGACATTTCATAGTCTTGAAGCCTATCATTGGAGGATAATTCTAAGAGAGAAGGGGGGACTTTTTCCATGGTATGGTGTAACATTTTTGGCAGATCATATTGATAATATTAGCTATACTTTGATTCCAGATAGTTCAGATAGTATCACTATGCGTTGAAGAATTGGTAGATCTGAAGGAGCTGGATGGTCAGCGAAGTCTTGGTTGCAAGATCAGTTAGGCCCAGTAGGAGCAGTGATGGTTCAGATTTAATAGCAGGTTTGATAGCACTGTGTGTGATGTTTGTAATTTGTTACTGACCTTTGAGAAAGCTATGATATTGAGATAGGTTGGAGTAGTGATGCCTGGAGACAACACTCAGATGCCGTTGTTGACTGTTCCAGATCTGGATGAAAATGGACAAGTGGGACTGGATGGAGTATTGATGATAAATATCCTTTTTGATTTTTTGATCATTTTTCAAAAAAAATTCAATATTAGTGTGATTTTAGTATGATGTTATGAATCAAAGGGGGGAAGTGTATGAATGAATCACATTATCCTATTTCATTATTCTATCATTTATATTGATTCACACATCATTTATATATAATTTTTTATATTCTTAGTTGATATTGATGTTTAATTTGAAAGTGTTGTTTTGCAAGAGATACTGTTTGGTCTTTTCTTTTCTTACAGAAGCATTTGGGGGAAAAGGTAGAGATTGAAATACTCAAACAAGGACAATATGAAGGGACAATATGAAAGGACAATGACTGGAGGAGATGGAACAAGGAAGGTGTGGAAAGGTTCCGATTCCATCATCAACGATGCATTGGAAGAGGAGACTACGGGGGAGATTAAGTGTAGTGGACTACATTCCAGTGTCTGCAATGAAATATAGACATATTTGCATGTGTAATACATAATATGTGTCATATTCTTAGGTATTAATTTTTGTATAATGATATTTGATGTTATTGGATACATGTGGGGATCTTAGATGTTTTTGTTTATTTCGTGAATGCTTAGGGACAGGGAGTCTAGGCAGGGATAGAGATTCACTATAGGGTCCGATGGGTTGACCAGCCTTAGAGTGGACATTTTTTGGATAGTATTTTGTTTGCAGGGGCTTACATGTGTATTTAATTGCATCATAGTTTCAAATGCATTGATAAAGATTTATGAATTCATCAGGAGTACCTAGGTGGTTGCCTGGGGCAGAGGGACCGTGAGAGAATTTTACTGTCTTGATTGATGGATGGATTTGGAACGAAGGTTGCCAGACAGTTTTTCGCTCTCACACTCCATAAAGATTTGTTCATATTTCATAGTAATGTATTCACACTTCATAAACATTTATTCATATTTCATAGAAAGGTATTTACACTCTAGAGAATAATGTTTTTTGGTTTAATGTTAAAGATACTCAATAAGATAAATTGTTACTTGTCATAATCCTATTCTGTTTGTTTTCGAGACTGTTTAGTCTCGAAGGGGGGAATGTCGTATATGAAGATTATGACGTTGTTAATGTTTTTAAGTGGAACCGGAGAGGACGTTATTTTAGTATCAAGAGGGAATGTTTTAGTGTAACGCCACATACAACAGACAGGAAGTGTGTTGTAGACAGGGGATTGGACAGTAGAGGGAGCCACCCACATCTTGGGGAGATTATATATACTGGGGGAAAAACGAAGAACAGGTTAGAGCGACCATTGCAATCTGGGGCGTCGCTCTCCGGGTGGGCATGACACCTGTAAAACTTATGCTGAAAGCTTGTGATATGAATAAAACTTATGATCAAGGTTCAGTATGAGCAGACTCCTTTGTTTATCAGCAATAATTGCCAGCATTTACTCGATACTACAGCCTACCAGAGTTACGCCTATAAACAATATAATGCTTATCGTTATAAAAAATATTCTGATTGAAAATTAATGAATAAGCCTCCTTCTGTACACCTATATCTTGCAGACGCTGTAGCCATCTGACAAATGCATGGCGGTGTCGTAGCATGCCACCGGCATATCTCCTCTCTCCGTCTCTGGGGCAAGGCATGAGCTTCTCTTCCTTTACATGTATTTTTTTAATATTAATATCATACAGCGGACGTCTAAGCCTATAGGCATATGCATGCAATGCCCTGATGCATTTACTGCTCAAATTTCCAACAGCTGAAACGTGAGGTGGACAATTATTGTTTTAGGAAAGTAAAAACCAATAAAACAATAGGCCATAAATTTTCGCTTACGCTACACATCTAACACACTGAAATAAGTATTTTTGTCATTTGTTATAGGCTGTTTTTAAGGACAATTAAATGTGGCTCATTTGGCCAATAGGCTATCCCTCGTTTATTGATGGCGCTGGCATCGTCAGGTCGGCAGTTTCTTTCCCTCTTTCTTTTTAGTCGTATCTGAATGCATATGGATGTCTGGTAAATTTCTCAAATGTCCGGTAAATTAAAATCTTCCCGGCTATGTTGTCCGGTGCCAAATTTTCCTGACCAAAACCCTGGTTTTACCCTCTAGTTTATAAGGTATCTTTCTGGGCAGTGTTGTTTCCGTCCGGGTGTTTCCTGAAGAACTCCTGAACCCTCCTCCACAGGTCCAGCTGAGCCTGATGGTGGGCTTTAGCCTCTCCCCCAAATGCCAGACGGGCAGTGGGGCATGTAGGGTACCTCCAGGAAATGCCCCGCCCTGGCGTACATCACCACCTGGAGGTGAAAGGAAAAGAGGACAGAACATCAACCAACGCCAAGTTAAGGTGCAGTCAGAAAACATAGAAACATTAAGAATGACAGACAACACAGTTTAAACATATATGGCAAATAGAAATAAAAACTGAAAGGTCTTCAGAGATCGATGGGAGGGTTTGAGGGTAGCTGAAGGATGGGTCTAAAAACAAACAAAAGATAACTACTGTAAATTATACTGTGTCCGTCAAATGTATATAGTATCTATAAGCTGGAAGTACAGTGCAGTCGGAAAGTATTCAGACCCCTTCCCCTTTTCCACTTTGTTACTTCTAAAATGGATTAAATGTTTGTTTTTTCATCAATCTACACACAATACCTCACAATGACAAAGCGAAAACAGGTTCATGTTTTTTTATACATTTGCAAAACAAAAATACCTTATTTACATGAGTATTCAGACCCTTTGCTATGAGACTCGAAATTGAGCTCAGGTGCATCCTGTTTCCATTGATCATCCTTGAGATGTTTCCACCTGTGGTAAATTCAATTGATTGGACATGATTTGGAAAGGCACACACTTGTCTACATAAGGTTCCGTGTAGCTCAGTTGGTAGAGCATGGCGTTTGCAACGCCAGGGTTGTGGGTTCGATTCTCACGGGGGCCAGTGTGAAAATGTATGCACTAAGTCTCTCTGGATAAGAGCGTCTGCTAAATGACTAAAATGTAAAAATGTCCCACAGTTGACAATGCATGTCAGAGCAAAAACCAAGCCTTGAGGTCAAAGGAATTGTCCGTAGAGCTCCGAGACAGGATTGTGTCAGGCACAGATCCGGGGAAGGGTACCAAAACAGGTCCCCAAGAACACAGCGGCCTCCATCATTCTTAAATGGAAGAAGTTTGGAACCACCAAGGCTCTTCCTAGAGCTGGCCGCACGGCCAAACTGAGCAATCGGGGGAGAAGGGCCTTGGTCAGGGAGGTCACCAAGAACCTGATGGTTACTCTGACAGAGCTCCAGAGTTCCTCTGTGGAGATGGGAGAACCTGTGGCTCATATCCAATCCACTCCTCAGTAAGAGACACATACAGCCCACTTGGAGTTTGCCAAAAGGCACCTAAAGGACTCTCAGACCATGAGAAACAAGATTCTCAGGTATGATGAAACCAACATTGAACGCTTTCCCCTCAATGCCAAGTGTCACGTCTGGAGGAAACGTGGCACCATCCCTACGGTGAAGCATGGTGGTGGCAGCATCATGCTGTGGGGATGTTTTTCAGCGGCAGGGACTGGGAGACTAGTCAGGGTCGAGGGAAAGATGAACGGAGCAAAGTACAGAGAGATCCTTGATGAAGACAACGACCCTAAGCACACAGCCAAGACAACGCAAGAGTGGCTTCGGGACAAGTCTCAATGTCCTTGAGAGGCCCAGCCAGAGCCCAGACTTAACCCGATCGAACATCTCTGGAGAGACCTGAAAATACCTGTGCAGCAACGATCCCCATCCAACCTGACAGAGCTTGAGAGGATCTGCACAGAAGAATCTGAGAAACTCCCCAAATACAGGTGTGCCAAGCTTGTAGCGTCATACCCAAGAAGACTCAAGGCTGTAATCGCTGCCAAAGGTGCTTCAACAAAGTACTGAGTAAAGGGTCTGAAAACGTATGTAAATGTAATAATTCCGTTTTTTATTTTTAATAAATTTGCAAAAATTTCTAAAAACCTGTTTTTGCTTTGTCATTATGGGGTATTGTCTGTAGATTGATGAGAAAAAAACAATTTAATCAATTTTAGAATAAGGCTGTAACATAACATGTGGAAAAAGTCAAGGGGTGCGAATATTTTCCGAATGCACTGTATGTATATTTGTGGCCGTTTCAGCACCAACTGGTAGATTTAAAAAATACTCTGATCTTGTAGATTATTAAGGCACATTTTAGGGTTAGGAAAGTTTGTATGAATAAAAATCAAAACTGGTTTGGAGAGTCTTTATGTACTAAATATATTGATCAATAAAAAAGTGGTTTGATTCATCCTGAAAGTTGTCATATTCAAGTTCAATCTATTAAATATTGGAAGGTGAAAAAAAAAGAAGTGTACAATAGGGGTTGAACAATAATCCTACCCTAATTCTCACTAATCATGGAACTGTACGACACCGGTCCAGTCGTCGTGAACCGTGCTCCAGGCTCCAGGTTTAACCTGCTACATGGTCTGAGTTCCATAATGATTAATATTCATTGCATGCATTTGCTGTTTGTTTTGGTTGTGTTCCAGATGATTTTGTGCCCGATAGAAACAAATGGTAAATTATGTAGAATCATTTTGGAGTCACTTGTATTATAAATAAGAATAGTATATGTTTAAAAAACACTTTTACATTAATGTGGATGCTACCATGATTACGGATAATGATGAATGAATCTTGAATAATGATGAGTGAGAAAGTTAGATGCACAAACATTATACCCCCAAGACATGCTAACCTCTCACCATTACAATAACAGGGGAAGTTATTGTATGATTATTTCAATAATTTTACTGAGTTACAGTTCATAAGGAAATCAGTCAATTGAAATAAATGCATTAGGCCCTAATCTATGGATTTCACATGACTGGGAATAAAGATATGCATCTGTTGGTCACAGATACGTTAAAAAAATAAAAGGTAGGGGCGTGGAACAGAAAACCAGTCAGTATCTGGTGTGACCACCATTTGCCTCATGCAGTGCGACACATCGCCTTTGCAGAGAGTTGATCAGGCTGTTGATTGTGGCCTGTGGAATGTTGTCCCACTCCTCTTCAACGGCTGTGCGAAGTTCCTGGATATTGGCGGGAACTGGAACACGCTGTTGTGCACGTCAATCAAGAGCATCCTAAACATGCTCAATGGGTGACATGTCTGGTGAGTATGCAGGCCATGGAAGAGCTGGGACATTATCAGCTTTCAGAAATTGTGTACAGATCCTTGCGACATGGACCTTGCATTATCAAGCTGAAACATGAGGTGATGGCCCATACCATAACCCCACCGCCACCATGGGGCACTCTGTTCACAACGTTGACATCAGCAAACCGCTCACCTAAATGACGCCATACACTGTCTGCCATCTGCCCGGTACAGTTGAAACCAGGATTCATCCGTGACGAGCACACGTCTCCAGCGTGCCAGTGGCCATCGAAGGTGTGCATTTGCCCACTGAAGTCAGTTACGACGCCAAACTGCAGTCAGGTAAAGACCCTGGTGAGGACAACAAGCACGCAGATGAACTTCCCTGAGACGGTTTCGGACAGTTTGTGTAGAAATTCTCCGGTTGTGCAAACCTACAGTTTCATCAGCTGTCCGGGTGGCTGGTCTCAGATGATCCCGCAGGTGAAGAAGCCGGATGTGGAGGTCCTGGGCTGGCGTGGTTACAAGTGGTCTGCGGTTGTCAGCCCGGTTGAACATACTGCCAAATTCTCAAAAATTACATTGGAGGCGGCTTATAGTAGAGAAATTAACATTACATTCTCTGGCAACAGCTCTGGTGGACATTGCTGCAGTCAGCATGCCAATTGCCTGCTCCCTCAAAACTTGAGACATGTGGCATTGTGTTGTGTGACAAAACTGCACATTAGAGTGGCCTTTTGTCCCCAGCACACGGTGCACCTGTGTAATGATCATGCTGTTTAATCAGCTTCTTGATATGCCACACCTGTCAGGTGGAAGGATTATCTTGGCAAAGGAGAAATGCTCACTAAGATGTGAACAAATTTGTGCACAAAATTTGATAGAAATAAGCTTTTTTTGCATATGGAACATTTCTGGGATCTTTTATTTCAGCTCATTAAACATGGGACCAACACTTTACATGTTGTGTTTATATTTTTGTTTAGTATAGAAGTGTTTAGAAACATATTATATTCTTATTTATAATAGAAGTGACTCCAAAATGACACAATACATAATTTACTATTCATTTATATTGGGCACAAAATAATCTGAAACACAACCAAAACAAACAGCAAATATATCCAACAAATTTGTAGAGTCACAAGCTTGATGTAGTCATTGGGTGCAATGAATGTGGGACCAAATACTTAACTTTTCACTACTTTAACACACAAGTGAATGGGGGGACTATGTGCAAAAAGTGCTGTCATTTCTAAACGGTTCACCTGATATGGATGAAAATACCCTCAAATTAAAGCTACCAGTCTGCACTTTAACCTCATAGTCATTGTATCATTTCAAATCCAAAGTGCTGTACAGAGCCAAAACAACAAAAAATGTGTCACTGTCCCAATACTTTTGGAGCTCACTGTATATCCTATTTCACTGTGGAAAAGGGGCCACAATACATATCATGTTAATATGATCTTCAGTTTGCTTCCATACGGCTGGTTTCGCATTCGTCTCCAGGGATCATAAGGAAAAATCATCTAAAACAATTGCTATGTGTATTTACAATCCCGGGGCCTCCCGAGTGGCACAACGGTCTAAGGCGGGTCATGTCATCCGGGTTAAGCGAGCAGGTGTTAAGAAGCAGCGCGGCTTGGCGGGTCATGTTTCGGAGGACAGTGATGAGACAAGATCGTAAATACCAATTGGATATCATGAAATTGTGGAGAAAAAGGGGGTAAAATTACAAACAAAAAAATCTAACAGATTACTAATTTACTAATCTAGCTGTTATCAATTGATAAATTATAGTGCATGGCAAATGCTGTTATTTCTATCAGTAAAAATTAAGTAGATGCTTTTTCCACCTAGAACCGGCAGGTTTGCTCGACCGTATTCATGGTTTCATCGCGCATAAAGGTGGTGAAACTATGAGGGAATTATTCAAGGTCAAAATACGGTGCATTAGTAGACACCTCCTCCACACCATTTATTCGAGCTCCACCTCAAACTAATAGTGGGTGAATAGCATTCAAGGTCAGAATATGCATAGAGAGAAAAACGCATAAAATTGAATTATGTTCCATTTACGGGCACTTAATTCTGGTCGGCATCGGGGCCTTAGAGACTTATCCAGGAAAACTCACAGCTGTTAATTGCTGCCAAATGTGTTTCTAACACAGTGGTCACCAAAACAGTTGATCGCCAAGGCATTCCTAGTCGATCACAAAACATTTTCTATAATAAACCCAAAGATAAAGCCTTGCATTCCTGCTTTTTTCTGTCTTGCGCTGTTGGCAGTAGGTGCACTTGATTCAGCTGCCCTGCGCACCGGGTAGATGAAGTGTTTCCACAGTGGTGTAAAGTACTTAAGTAAAAATACTTTAAAGTACTACTTAACTCTGTACTTTACTATTTATATTTTTTACAACTTTTACTTCACTACATTCCTAAAGAAAATGTACTTTTTACTCCATACATTTTCCCATACACCCAAAAGTATTAGTTACATTTTGAATGCTTAGCAGGACAGGAAAATTGTCAAATTCACACCCTTTTCAAGAGAACATCCCTGGTCATCCCTACTGCCTCGGATCTGGCGGACTCACTAAACACACGCTTCATTTATAAATTAAAACTGAGTGTTGGATTGTGCCCCTGGCTATCCGTAAATAAACAAATTAAATAAAATGGTGCCGTCTGGTTTGCTTAATATAAGGAATTTGAAATTACTTATACTTTTGATACTTAAGTATATTTTAGTAATTACATTTACTTTTGATACTTAAGTATTTAAAACATTTACATTTAAGTCATTTAGCAGACGCTCTTATCCAGAGCGACTTACAGTTAGTGAATACCTTCTTTTTTTTTTTTTATTAGCAAAATGAATGATTAGCAAAGTGTATCAATAGGCTTGCGTTATTATTAGCGACTGTGTGTTGTTTTCACCTTCTCTATTCATAGGAGTAACATGAATTTGTGAATGAGACAGAAATAATCGAATCAAATTTTATTTGCCACATGCGCCGAATACAACAGGTGTAGACATTACAGTGAAATGCTTACTTACAAGCCCTTAACCAACAATGCCGTTTTTAAGAAAAGCAAAAAAAGCAAAAAATAATAATAATTAAAGAGCAGCAGTAAAATAAGATAACAGTAAGGAGGTTATATACAGGGGGTACCGGTACAGAGTCAATGTGCGGGGGCACTGGTTAGTCGAGGTAATTTAGGTAATATGTACATGTGGGTAGAGTTAAAGTGACTATGCATAAATAATAAACAGAGTAGCAGTAGCGTAAAAGAAGGGGATGGGGTGGGGTGGGGGGGCAATGCAAATAGTCTGGGTAGCCATGATTAGCTGTTCAGGAGTCTTATGGCTTGGGGGTAGAAGCTGTTAAGAAGCCTTTTGGACCTAGACTTGGCGCTCCGGTACCGCTTGTCGTGCGGTAGCAGAGAGAACAGTCTATGACTAGGGTGGCTGGAGTCTTTGATAATTTTTAGGACCTTCCTCTGACACTGCCTGGTATAGAGGTCCTGGATGGCAGGAAGCTTGGCCCCAGTGATGTACTGGGCCGTACGCACTACCCTCTGTAGTGCCTTGCGGTCGGAGGCCGAGCAGTTGCCATACCAGGCGGTGATGCAATCAGTCAGGATGCTCTCGATGGTGCAGCTGTAGAACTTTTTGAGGATCTGAGGACCATGCCAAATATTTTCAGTCTCCTGAGGGGGAATAGGCTTTGTCATGCCCTCTTCACGACTGTCTCTTTTTGGTCATAAGAGACGGTAGCAGAAACATTATGTACAGAATAAATTACAAACGCGAAAACACATAATAGTACAATTGGTTAGAGGGCTGTAAAACAGCAGCCATCTTCTCCAGCGCCACTTCTGGGGGGATCACACTGGTCGGACCGTCCCTCAGCTCTCCCCCCTCTGCTACGACTGACCAAAAAGGGGACACAGTCTTTGAGTTGATGGAAAAACTCAAGTCACACTGCTGAGGGACGGTCCGACTGTGAGATGCGGACCCTCTGATGCTCTCCCTCCACTGAGGCACCTTCAGTCCAGTAAAATAAAGAAAGCAAATTATTTCAACGTATGCTCACTTAGCTGTGCCTTATAAGTAAAACAACAAATGATGATCTATTACCAGTGTGATCATATACCCTCGTTTTGAAATATAATTTTTAAATGTTCTGAGAAGAACAACATTGGCAGGGAAATTTAAGCATAGCCAATATGCAGTGATAATGTATTGGGCCTATAGCCTACAGCACAAATAACTGTTTTTAATAGGTTAATGTTGCATAGCCTTATGTTTAAGTCATGTGAGCGGTAGATCTCAGCCTGCATTTTGACTAAGAAAGTGATCTAGACTCAAAAAAGGTTGGTGACCACTGTTCTAACATGAATTGACTCAGGGGTGAGAATAATTATGTAAATGAGATATCTGTATTTCATTTTCAATAAATTTGTTAAAGTTTCTAAAATCGTGTGTATCCAGAGCATCAATCCAGAGAATTCTAAACATGCTCAATGGGTAACATGTCTAGTGTCTAGGCCATGGAAGAGCTGGGACAAAGGCCTTGAGGCCGATACGTAAAGCTTGACAAAGAGCAGTGATACTAGCAAGAGCAGTGTGCGGATTTCTTCTTTTTTCTCAGGCTTTAACACAACAAAATGTAGAATAAGTCAAGGGATATAAATACTTTCTGAAGGCATTGTATGTATAGAAGGTTTCGTTCAAATCTAAATGGGTACTGTCAAAAAGTGATTAAAAATGGATTTACCCCTATGCAAAGCACTCTGTCACTCAGAAACTTCTCCTTTCAGTGTCTGCCTGCCAGCTAGTTTTCTAGGCTAGTTAAGAATCCTATAGTTATCACGTTACACATTGGATTTATTAACTACAAAAAGGTAAGACGTGTTTTGAATTCTGGTGCGGCTGCACACACAAGCTTGTTAGCTAGCTCTGTTCCAGGGCGTTGAGCTAGCCTCGGCATTGAGCAAACTCTGACATTCAAAGTTCCTCCATTTTAGCTGCTCCTCCGTAGGCATCTAGCTAGTAGATACAGTTGAAGTCGGAAGTTTACACACACTTAGGTTGGAGTCATTAAAACTTGTTTTTCAACCACTCCACAAATTTCTTGTTAACAAACTATAGTTTTGGCAAGTCGGTCAGGACATCTACTTTGTGCATGACACAAGTAATTTTTCCAACAATTGTTTACAGACAGATTAATTCACTTATAATTCACTGTATCACAATTCCAGTGGGTCAGAAGTTTACATACACTAAGTTGACTGTGCCTTTAAACAGCTTGGAAAATTCCAGAAAATGATGTCATGGCTTTAGAAGCTTCTGATAGGCTAATTGACATCATTTGAGTGAATTGGAGGTGTACCTGTGGATGTATTTCAAGGCCTACCTTCAAACTCACTGCCTCTTTGCTTGACATCATGGGAAAATCAAAAGAAATCAGCCAAGACCTCAGATTTTTTTTTTTAGACCTCCACAAGTCTGGTTCATCCAATTTCCAAACGCCTGAAGGTACCACGCTCATCTGTACAAACAATAGTACGCAGGTATAAACACCATGGGACCACGCAGCCGTCATACCGCTCAGGAAGGAGACGCGTTCTGTCTCCTAGAGATGAACGTACTTTGGTGCGAAAAGTGCAAATCAATCCCAGAACAACAGCAAAGGACCTTGTGAAGATGCTGAAGGAAACAGGTACAAAAGTATCTATATCCACAGTAAAACAAGTCCTATATCGACATTACCTGAAAGGCCGCTCAGCAAGGAAGAAGCCACTGCTCCAAAACCGCCATAAAAAAGCCAGACTACGGTTTGCAACTGCACATGGGGACAAAGATCGTACTTTTTGGAGAAATGTCCTCTGGTCTGATTAAACAAAAATAGAACTGTTAGGCCATAATGACCATAGTTATGTTTGGAGGAAAAAGGGGGCAGCTTGCAAGCCGGAGAACACCATCCCAACCGTGAAGCACGGTGGTAGCAGCATCGTGCTGTGGGGGTGCTTTGCTGCAGGAGGGACTGGTGCACTTCACAAAATAGATGGCATCATGAGGAAGGAAAATTATGTGGATATATTGAAGCAACATCTCAAGACATCAGTCAGGAAGTTAAAGCTTGGTCGCAAATGGATCTTCCAAATGGACAATGACCCCAAGTATACTTCCAAAGTTGTGGCAAAATGGCTTAAGGACAACAAAGTCAAGGTATTGGAGTGGCCATCACAAAGCCCTGACCTCAATCCTATAGAACATTTGTGGGCAGAACTGAAAAAGCATATGCGAGCAAGGAGGCCTACAAACCTGACTCAGTTACACCAGCTCTGTCAGGAGGAATGGGCCAAAATTCACCCAACTTATTGTGGGAAGCTTGTGGAAGGCTACTCGAAACGTTTGACCCAAGTTAAACAATTTAAAGGCAATGCTACCAAATACTAATTGAGTGTATGTAAACTTCTGACCCACTGGGAATGTGATGAAAGAAATAAAAGCTGAAATAAATAATTCTCTCTACTATTATTCTGACATTTCACTTTCTTAAAATAAAGTGGTGATCCTAACTGTCCTAACACAGTGAATTTTTACTAGGATTAAATGTCAGGAATTGTGAAAAACTGAATTTAAATGTATTTGGCTAAGGTGTATGTAAACTTCCGACTTCAACTGTAATTCAGTGAAGTAATTATAAGCCTACTACAAATATCCTAGACACATTAAAATGCAAGTCATATCAAGATGCCCAGCGCTTCAAGCCAAGCCTCGTCCATGTCCACCGCTCTCTCTCGCCATCTCCCTACGCTGCAAAATTTCAGTCGCATCTCGCGCCCAACACTTGTCTGTCATCAAGCATGTAAACAACTAGCTTGCCTGGTCCATAGAAAGCTGCTCTATCTGCAGATTCTGCACTGATTGGTGGAGTAATTTAATAAGCTAAATGTAAAAATGTCGATTTCACAAATTAAAAGGAACCGAAAGGAATTCTATAAACCAGTTATTTTTTCTGGTTCGAACCGGTTCAGAACTTTATTATGCTGGTCGGAACAATGGAACAGAACAAAATAAATAGTGGTTCTGTTCAGAACGAAACTATTGGGGAAATAATTTCAGTTCCAACCCCTGCTATTGAGTACAGGCAGTTTTGAGGCTGAAACATCATGTGTTTATCTAGTACTTAATTAAACTTTTTGCTAAGAAAATGTTCATGTTCAGGTTTATTTCCTTACCTCAAAGTTCTCTTTCCCATGATGCCTCAGCCGGGTGGCGGCCTGTTGGGCGAAGAGACAGCTGTTCCAATTCCTGTCGTCCTCCGAGGCGGCGAAGAGGAACCTAGAACTGGAACGTTCTATTGGGATCACAGAACCGCTGTTCCCCTCAGTCTCTGGGTCCGGTAAGGCGTCTCGGATGTCGAGGAGGCCGGACGGTGACGTTCTCTACGATAGGCGTGACCGAAGGGATGACGAGGTCTTTGTAGTGCATTGGCGCCACCATATTAGCATTGCTGCCGTTGATCCAGGCTATGGCTGAGATGCCAGAGAGAAAAGAGGCCATGGACAGAGCCAGGTCCCCTCTCTTAGAGATAGACAGGATTCCTATTCCTGGACCTAGAGGAAGAGAGTGTTTTTAATAAAAACATTGTTATTGTCAACAGGGGTTAAAGCAAAAAAAATACCATGACTGAAACTTAAGTCTATCTCAGATCGATTGTCTGGGGCCAAGTTAACCTCCCCTTTAATGTAGGAAGTCATGACCATCATGCTTTTAGGAAAGAGGATCATTTTGTTAATTTATTAAACTGCGGTTTTGACCAATTCCAGTCCCCTTGCTTAGGGTCTGGGATCCTCCTCGGGAGAATTTAAATGTAGAAGGACTGAGAAGCTCAGTTCTGGTGACTTTTTAAAAGTATATTCTACTCAAAAATTAATGAAAATACAATGATGCTGACACCATCTAAAATCTAATTTCCACCTCCAGAAATGAGCCAAATAACAATGTTAAAATTATTTGTACATATTGGACCATGGCATGCATATAGCCTATGCATGGTCTATATTATCAGATGTGCTAATAGCAATAAGAATAATCACCTGTAACCTAACTGACGCAGCATAGTGGCTATAAAACGTACATAGGCTGAAGCATGGGGTTTGTCCATCTGCATTTACCCCATTGGAAACAACATCCTGATTGTTATTAATTATTAATACTACTGGAAATGTTAGATTTGTTTTGTCATTGCCCGTTTAAGAGCTCGGTGTTGCGCAGCTGCGCCTAAAGGGCTCTACACCTTCTATGCAAAGGGTTTGTCACTAGTTACCACAACCACAGTCATAAACTCCGCCTATTTCTACAATTTATATTTTTAAAATGTGATTTTAAACCTAACCTTAACCACACCAAAAATAAAGAAATTGTTTTCATGATATATATACGTCCGACCGGTCTCACAACCGCAGACCACATGTAACCACGCCAGCCCAGGACCTCCACATCCGGCTTCTTCACCTGCGGGATCGTCTGAGACCAGCCACTCGGACAGCTGATGAAACTGAGGACTATATCCGTCTGTAATAAAGCCCTTTTGAATCAGCTTTACACCCTTTGGGGTCCCGAGGACCGAGTTTGAAAAACGCTGCCCTAAAGGGTCCTGATTTATACCTGGTTAGGTTACCAGATTAGGAAAAGCTCCAGGCCCCAAGGGAAACAATTTGCCCCACCACTCTGGAACCTGTGGTGCCAGATCTGCATCAGGGCATCATCGGTCCCAAAAATCGTTGCAATCGTAGAGGTAGTGGGGGAAAAAAAGGGATGCAGTTTGTAAAACATGTGAGTCCAAAATCACTGATGTATTGCAATTGCAATGAAATTGGCATAAAACACTTAACCATTGACTTGAGGACTCGAAACCCAAAATTAGGGACTTGTGACTTGACCTGAGCTGTGGAACTTGGGACTTTACTTTAGATGTGTCCATTATTACTTGGGACTTGACTCGAGACTTGAAGGTTAAGACTTGCAAAATTGTCACTTGGTCTCATCTCTGTTAGGTGGTCCCTGATGAATTTGCTAACACAAATGGGGTCCCGGCCCCAAAAAGGTTTGAGAACCCCTGGTGTAGAGCAAACAGCAGCCACTAGATGGTAGCATTTACACAGCTAACAAAATATTGAAGCATAGTGAGAGGAACCTCAAGGTGACATTTTCTTCTCATGGAGCAAATGGCCCACATTCACAATGTGTCTCAGAGTTAAGAGTGCTGGACATTATATGGACATGAGGAACCTGTTCCTAGATCAGCACTCCTACTCTGAGATGTTTTATGAATACAGGCACTTATCTTTTTCCTCCACTAACCTGTGGCTGTCGCCTCAGGAAAGTGATGGCCTCTTCAAAGTACTCCAGGTCAAAGTATTTAGGCATGGTTCTGGGCAGGTCCTGGAAGCCATAGTAGGCCAGAGCCAGAACCACAAAGCCTTTGTTAGCCAGCAGACTGGCCCGGACCTCTGTTATACCTCCAACCAGAGTATACACATCCAGTACACCGGGGAATGGACCCTGCCCTGTGAGGATGGGGGAATGAAAGAGGAATAGGAGAGAGAGAATAACAAGAGAAATGTAGGACTGTTACTGTTTTGTCACTCACTGCAGGTGGAGATGGTTTCTGGCCTACCTATATAAAACCCACGCAATGCAAAGTAGGCTTTGTTATCTAATGCAAAGGCCTAATGCCTCGATCACACCGACAGCGTCATTGCATTTTGGTACACCAGAAGTTCATTCATTTCCAATGGAACGCTGCGTTTGCCTTGCAGCATTACGTTGCAGAGGCAGTTCGTTCTGTGTGGTGCATACGTTGTATTTATCGAACGTATGCGTCAAACTGTATGTGTAGACGGCTTGACAGAAATGGTAGCAGAAAGTGAATGTTGAACTTTTGTTGCTCACATATCCAGATGATGCTGCTTACCATTTTGCACAATGACGCTGTCCGTGTGATCAAGGCATAAGCCTATAGGCCTTCTACACTGTAATTTGTGTTTTTCTTAGGAGAGTTCACAACAACATATTCAGACACTTTTCAATCATCAATATAGGCCCTTTGATTAAAAAGGTATGTGTAGGCCTACAGTACATACAATCAATGGATTTCCATTTCCTTAGAACAGTGTTTCTTAATCCTGGTCCTGTGGACCCAAAAATATAATTTCCCACTTCAGAGCATTTTGAATCACCTTCTAACCGATGGTAGAAAGAGGACTCCCCGAATTCTCCCTTCTTTCAATCCCAACAGTTTTCTCCTTACCCCTTCCGTCATGAACCGCCTCTCGTTGGTCTCTGTGGCCAAGAGCTCACCTGTGTCCCCATGCAACACTTCTATGTCAACCATCATTGAACCCAACACATTTTTTAAAAACAGTTTGCTGTGTGGAGTCTCGGCCGCCATGGCCCAAAACAAGCCCATGGATTCAACTCCCGTGTAGCTGCCGCCCAGAGAGGGAGAGCGGCACAGGTCCACCTGTCCGCTAGGATCTGCAGCGACCAGAGCGGAAGCGCTGAAGATGACTCCTTTATCATCCCTGAGTTTAGACCTCAACTCTACTTTCTGGTGCGGAGAAAGTCCATCTACCTTCACGTGCACCGGTTCGTCGAAGAAACAGCGAGGGCTGGGGAGAAGCCGGACGCAAACCTGCTGCGAATTCGACCTCAGTGTTGTTTGAAACCGTATAAACCATGTTTTTGAGAGCACTTCCCGGTAACCCCGTTGGTGCAACATGACCCCAGATAGAACAAGGAGGCATATGTTTCACCGGATGTATAAATCGGAAGCATCCGGTTGAAATTTCCACTCGGTTTTGACTAGATCAGGGGTGTCAAACGACCGGCCCGCGGGCCGGTTCAGGCCCGCAAACGGGTTTAATCCGGCCCGCGAGATGATTTTGTAAAGTATAAAAATGCGCTGCAATTTTTCAATAAAATAAACTGCTGTTCCAATTGTGTCCACTGGATGGCGCAATAGCAATTGTGTTAAGCAAGCAAACTGTTTATACCGGGGCAGAGCAAGTAGGTCAAGTCTGTGTTTACTCACAGCCGAGACATCAGTGACGCTGCAGTGAAAGCTAGCTACCTCATTGCTAATGAAATCGCAGTGGCTTCAAAACCATTTAGTGAGGGTGAATTTGTAAAAACATGCATGATGAAGGCAGCGGAGATTGTGTGCCCTGAAAAGCGTCAGGCTTTTGTAAATATCAGCCTGACAAGAAACACAGTTGCAGACAGGATTTCCAATCTTTCAGTGGATTTGGACAGCCAGTTGAAGCAAAAAGGAAAGTCATTTATTGCGTTTTCGGTTGCAATTGATGAAAGCACGGACATTACAGATGTTGCACAACTGGCCATTTTCATCCGCGGAGTTGATGACACATTGACCGTCACCGAGGAGTTCGTGGAGTTGGTGCCGATGACAGATACAACGACAGCAGCTGATATTTTTACCGCACTCGTCGGCGCGCTGGACAGGGTCGGAGTGGACTGGTCCCGCGCTGTCAGCCTGGCTACAGATGGTGCGCCCTCAATGATCGGGAAAAAAGCAGGCGTTGTGACAAAATTCAGAGAGAAAGTGCAATCTGCAAATGGAGGACGTGATTTTTTGACTTTTCACTGTATTTTGCACCAGGAGGCTTTGTGTTGCAAGTCATTAAAGATGGATAACGTCATGAAGGTGGTCATCCAAACTGTTCATTTCATCCGATCCAGAAGCCTGAATCACCGTCAGTTTGACAGCCTTCTCAGAGAGAAAGACCACATCTATGGCCTGCCATACCACACTGAGGTAAGATGGTTAAGCCGAGGTGCTGAGGCGTTTCTTTGATTTACGAGAAGAAATTGAACAGTTCATGGAAGAAAAGGGCAAACCAGTGTTAGAATTCCATTCCGCAGAATGGATGCAGGACCTTGCATTTATGGTGGATGTTACAGAGCACCTGAATAACTTGAACAAACAGCTGCAAGGGCGCAACAAAGTTGTCACGCAGTATTATGACAGCATACGTTCTTTCAAGTTGAAGCTGTCATTGTGGGAGACGCAACTTGCCGGTGGTGATGCAGCTCACTTCCCCTGTCTGAAAAATGTGTGCGCGACCCAACATGTGGCAGACATGAAGCGGTTCAAAGATAAAATAACGGGACTGTTACGGGAGTTTGAGCAACGCTTTCAGATTTTTGGTGAACTGGAGAAAGACTTCAACGTTTTTTGCTCGCCAATCACCGTGAATCCCTCTGATCTGCCCGTCAGCATCCAACTTGAAATAATAGACTTGCAGTGCGACTCGGATTTGAAGGGCAAATTTGCTGCAGCTGGCTTGGACACATTTAATCAGAATCTCTTGCCAGGTTACCCCAACTTGACAGCCCTCGCTGCAAAACTGTTGTGCATGTTTGGAACCACATATCTTTGTGAGCAAGTTTTATCTATAATGAGCATAAATAAAACAAAGCTGCGCTCAAGGCTCACGCACAAGCACTTGAATCACATCCTGAAGTTGGCTGCCACTCAGGATGTGACGCCTGATATTGATGCGCTGGTGAAAGCTAAAAGATGCCAGGTATCAGGAGTCAAATAAACTATGCAACCCCACTTAAAGTGCTACATGAGACACCCTGATATAGTTCTGTGATCTGTGATATACTTCTGTGAATCACTGAGGCATTGTGTGTTTGTGTGTTGTTTGTCCTCAGAATTTCAAATAACTTGAGGTGTTTTATGATTAATAGTGATGTTGTGCTTTTGGACACACTGTCCTCAGGCTCCAGTTTTATGTTTATATGTTTTTATGTTGATGTGCTATTGTTTTTAATTGATTTTATTTTATTTGTATATTTAACCTATTCTTGACTCTGTGGTTCTTGCACTTGTTTGGGGAACAGGATTTCATTATTTTTATCTACATTTCTGCCTGAGAAATGACCCCCTGATATAGTTCTGTGATCTGTGAAACAGTTCTGTTAATCACTGAGGCATTGTGTGTTTGTGTTCTTTTTCTTTAGAATTTTCAAATAAACTTGACGTGTTTTATGATTAATAGTGATGTTGTGCTTGTACTATTTTGGACACACTGTCCTCAGGCTCCAGCTTTATGTTGTATGTTGATCGTATTAAAACAAAGAAAACAATCTGAAGTTGTTGTTTTTAAGTTATATATACCATGATTTTTCCGGTCCGGCCCACTTGGGAATAGATTTTCCTCCATGTGGCCCCTGAGCTAAAATGAGTTTGACACCCCTGGACTAGATGGATACAGCTTTTGTCATAGTTGACTTTTCGTAGGTTAGGAGAATTAACATAGCAGGTTAGGATACTTAGGTTAAGGTTAGGGGTAAGCTAATATGCACTTTTGACGTTAATTATAAAAAAATTGCCACAGGATACTGTCTTCGCTATATCTCTTCTGTTCTAGCCATGACCTTTCCACTCCCCGCCAAATATGGCAAAGTATCATTGGCCGTATTCAAGAGCATCAAAACGACAGCAGGCGACTCCCGGATCTACAAATCACCTTGCATCATAAATAAGGACTCATTATAGTTTGTAGGTCTGTCAATCACAATGGTACATTGCGGTTTTGATCCTCTCGAACACGGTCATTGTCTTACGTCAACTCGCCTTCAACCAATCTTGGGGTCATGGCTAAAGGGTATCCAGCTTTTGTCAAATTAACGTCCGATTTGACTTTCGTATTAGTTTAGGAGAATTTACGCAGCAGGTTAGGAAAATGTACGACGCAGGTTAGGATAATTAGGTTAAGGTTAGGAAAAGGGTTGGGGTTAGCTAAAATGCTAAAAAGTTCGGCTTTTGACGTTAACTTGACAAAAGCTGTCTCTCTTCTAGCCATGACCCGATCTTGGTCTGTTTCGCGATTATGGCTAGAAGGAATCAAGCTTTAGTAAAATTTACATTTTAGTTAACCCTAACCCTTTTCCTAACCTAAACCTAATTATCCTAACCTGCTACGTTAATTATCCTAACCGGCAGAATATTTTTTTTGTCAGCACTGAAGACATATATATCGTCAGCTAATACAGGACTAGTAAAGGCCAAGTGTAATACTTGTATTGGGAGTGTTTGTAACTTGAGTCTGAGCGTTATCTGTACAAAACAGTTAATCTGATAATACTTGTGGAATATAAAAATGCTTGATATATGTTTTCCAGTTTCTTTAAATACTTTGCAAATGCAACTTATTTATATGTGAAAAATGACCCTCTAGACCCTCTTATCCAGAGAAACTTACAGTAGTGAGTGCATACATTTTCATACTTTTTCGTACTGGTCCCCCATGGGAATCAAACCCACAATCCTAGCATTGCAAGCACCATGCTCTACCAACTGAGCCCCATCATCACATCACTAGTGGTGGAAAAAGTACTCAATTGTGATTCTTGAGTAAAAGTAAAGATACCTTAATAGAAAATGACTAAAGTAAAAGTCAGCCAGTAAAATACTACTTGAGTAAAAGTCTAAAAGTATTTGGTTTGAAATAAACTTCAGTATCAAAAGTAAATGGAATTGCTCAAAATGTACTTAAGTATCAAAAGTAAACGTATAAATCATTTCAACTTCCTTATATTAAGCAAACCAGATGGCACAATTACATTTTTTATTTTTTATTGACGGATAGCCAAGGGCACACTCCAACACTCAGACATAATTTACAAAGGAAGCATTTGTGTTTAGTGAGTCCGCCAGATCAGAGGCAGTAGGGATGACCAGGGATGTTCTCTTGATAAGTGTGTGAATTGGACCATTTCCCTGTCAAAATGTAACGAGGACTTTTGGGTGTCAGGGAAAAATTTATGGAGTAAAAAGGACATTATTTTCTTTAGGAATGTAGTGAAGTAAAAGTTGCCAAAAATATAAATAGTAAAGTACCCCAAAAAACGACTTAAGTAGTACTTTAAAGTATTTTTACTTAAGTACTTTACACCACTGCACATCACATCATTACAAACCACTTGATGTCTCAATGTACTCAATTACTGTATTGTGCGTTGTTTTTCTTCATGGTGATGGACAGTCTACAGGTACCAAACCTAGATGACCAGCCTATGTACAAAACAGTAATGTACATTTACATTAAGTGATTTGTAAGAATGGTAAATTAATACTACACAAAAAGTGTATTTTTTCCATGTTATTTGATCAGGAAAAATATTTAATTTGATGTGGATGTTTTACGTCTTTGCCCATAACGTTGCACCTTTTGATGTAAATGTTTGAGGACAGGGTTTTGTTCTTTCTGGATTCCATTAGAATGACAATCACAGAGAAAGGGACAGTGAAAAATAGGGGTAGGGTTGTAGAGAATCGAAGGGGCATTAATGTAGTAAGAAACCTTAGGTGCTGGATTAAGGCCGGTAGCAACCACTACATAATGTCCGTAAAAACAAGGATGAGGAGGATGTCCAGGTTAAGGAGAGTTTAATGGAAGAAGATGTCCACATTCACACACACATCTGACCACTCATGGTTCAGTTAACTGAGAATCATGTCCAGTGAGAACTGACATTAACTATGTGGTTGTTTCGATACACACACAATTAAATATCAGACATACAGGGATTCAGTCCACAGGAGGACAAGTTCAGCAGGAGGGAAAACTGTGGAAGTGCTCATCAGGATGGGGAAAGCACGTTTCTGACCGCACAGCGTGCTGGTGTCATAGACTAACTGAAACTGAAGTCCCGGGACTCAAGGCCACTGATAGGCTGAAGGAGATG